CTCAGCCTCCTGAGTAGCTGGGATTACAGGCACGTGCCACCATGCCCAGCTAATTTTTTGTAGTTTTAGTAGAGACGGGGTTTCACCATGTTGGCCAGGCTGGTCTCAAACGTCTGACCTCAGATGATCCACCTGCCTCAGCCTCCCAAAATGCTGGGATTACAGGTGTGAGCCACCACACTTGGCCTTTTACTTACTGTTTTTCAAGACAGGGTCTTGCTCTGTCGCCCAGGCTATGGTGTGATCATGGCTCAATGCAGCCTCGACCTCCTGAGTAACTCTCCCAAGTAATCCTCCTACCACAGCCTCCTGAGTAGCTGGGACCAAGGCTGTGCGCCATCATGTCCAGATATTTTTCTTTCTTTCTTTTTTTTTTTTTTTTTATAGAGATGGGGTCTTGCTTTGTTGCTTGGGCTGGTCTTGAACTCCTGAGCTCAAGTGATTATTCAGTTTCTGCCTCCCAAAGTGCTGGGATTACAGGTGTGAGCCACCATGCCTGGTCAGATCTTCCCATTTATTAAGGGAATCTGGAGAAATCTGGATTTTCTGTGACATCATCTTCTGATTTTTATTTATTTATTAATTATTATTATTATTTTTTGAGACAGAGTTTCGCTCTTCTTGCCCAGGCTGGAGTACAGTGGCACAATCTCAGCTCACTGCAACCTCCGCCTCCCAGGTTCAAGTGACTGTCCTGTCTCAGCCTCCTGAGTAACTGGGATCACAAGTGTGCCGCCATGCCTGGCTACTTTTCCTGTTTTTAGTAGAGATGGGGTTTTGCCATGTTGCCCAGGCTGGTCTCAAACTCCTAAGCTCAAGCGATCCACCCGCCTCGGCCTCCCAAGGTGCTGGAATTACAGGCATGAGCCACTGCACCAGGATTTTATTTATTATTTTTTTACACAGGGTCCTGCTCTGTCACCCAGTGACAGTGAGCTGCAGTCTAGTGGTGTGATCATGGCTCACTGCAACCTCGACCTCCTGGGCCCAAGTAATCCTCCTACCTCAGCCTCCTGAGAAGCTGGGATTACAGGTGTGTGCCTCCACGCTCCGCTAAATGTTGTATTTTTGGTAGAGATGGGGTTTCGCCATGTTGCCCAGGCTGGTCTCAAACTCCTTGGCTGAAGTGATCCTCCTGCCTCAGCCTCCTAAAGTGCTGGGATTACAGGCGTGAGCCCCCGCACCCATCCTAGCTTCTTATTTTAAGATGGATTTGTATCTTACAATTTCTGTCTTAATTCTAACATGGTAAATATAGAATAAACAACAGCTCTTTGAGATCCTCAATAATTTTTAGGAGTTTAAAGGGGTCCCTAAGATCAAACATTTTGGGAGACATTAATCTTTTCTTTCTTTTTCTTTTTTTTTTTTTTAAGAGACAGGGTCTTGCCTGTTGCCCCGGCTGGAGTGCAGTGGTACAACACAGCTCGCTGCAGCCTCGAACTCTTGGGCTCAAGAGATCACCCTGCCTCGGCCTCCCAAGTAGCTAGGACTATCGGTGCATACCACCAGGCGTGGCTAATTACAAAAAAAAAAAAACTTTATTATTATTATTATTTTGAGATGGAGGCTTCCTCTGTCACCAGGCTGGAGTACAGTGGTGCAATCTCGGCTCACTGCAGCCTCCTCCTCCCGGGTTCAAGTGATTCTCCTGCCTCAGCCTCCTGAGGAGCTGGGACTACAGGTGCACGCCACTACACCCTGCTAATTTTTGTATTTTTAGTAGAGACGGGGTTTCACCATATTGGCCGGGCTAGTCTTGAACTCCTGACCTTGTGAGCCACGTGCCTCGGCCTCCCAAAATGCTGAGGTTTCAGGCGTGAGCCGCTGCGCCTGGCAGCCCTATTCTTTATAAACTCTGCTTGGAGAACCGTGTGGAGGTGCTGGAGGCCTTCTTGGAGCTTAGAGGAGAGCAGGGTGACTGCTGGTGATCAGTCCCCTGGCCCACCAGCGCCGCCCCTCCCTGCCCCAAGATAACATAAGCTCATGTCAAGAAGCGGAGCAAGGGCCAGGGCCACAGGGAGGACCCGGCCGCCCCACAGCCGCCTCACCGCTCCTTCCGCAGCAGCTCCTGGCTGATGAGGACCAGCTGGCCCGAGGCGTCGTGGGTCTTCCGGGACACGGCCTCCAGCTCCGCCTCCAGGCGCCGCTTGTCCTTCAGGAGGGCGTCCACCTTCTTCTCGCCGGACTTGCACTTGCTCTCCAGCGCTGGGGTGAGCGGCAGGGAAGGGAGGAAGAGGATTGGGAACACGTGAGCCTCTGTCCCGCCCAAGGGCAAAGACCTGGGCAGGCGCTGATTCTCCAGGGCCTGAAGGTGACACACTCCACTGCATAGTTTTGAGTGGTTTATTTTTTTTTTTTTAATTTTTTTTTTTTTTTGAGACGGAGTCCCGCTCTGTCACCCAGGGTGGAGTGCAATGGTGTGATCTCAGCTCACTGCAACCTCCACCACCCGGGTTCAAGTGATTCTCCTGCCTCAGCCTCCTGAGTAGCTGGGACTACAGGTGCACACCACTACGCCCAGCTATTTTTTCGTGTTTTTAGTAGAGATGGGGGTTCACCATCTTGGCCAGGCTGGTCTCAAACCCCTGACCTCAGGTGATCCACCCGCCTCAGCCTCCCAAAGTGCTGGGATTACAGGTGTGAGCCACGGTGCCCGGCCACATTTTTTTGTTTTCTTTTTTTTTTTTTTTTTTGAGACTGAGTCTCTGTTGTTGGCCTGGGCTGGAGTGCAACGGCGCGATCTCGGCTCACTGCAACCTCTGCCTTTCCAGTTCCAGTAACTCTCCTGCCTCAGCCTCCCGAGTGGCAGGGAATACAGGTGCCCGCCACCACACCTGGCTAATTTTTTAATATATATTTTTTCTTCTTTTTCTTTTATTCCCAGCATGCTAGCATCAATTTTTAAAATATTTTTAATAGAGATGGGGTTTCACCATGTTGGCCAGGCTGGTCTTGAACTCCTGACCTTAAGTGATCCACCTGCCTCGGCCTCCCAAAGTACTGGGATTACAGGCATGAGCCACCATGCCCGGCCCCGGCCAAATTTTTATGTTTTGTAGGGAGGAGGCCTCATTATGTTTTATAGGCTGGTCTCAAACTCTGGCCCCAAGCAATCCTCCCTCTTTGGCCTCCCAGTGTGCTGGGATTACAGGCATGAGCACCTCGCCCAGCATCCACTGCATCATTTTAAAAGCACCATGGGTCTCAACTGTCCCTACAAGGCAGGTGGCAAGGGGCCTGAGAGAACAGGTACAAGAAACAGATCAGCCCTCACCAAGCACATTCGCCACTTGGGCTCCTAGTGTGAGGAGCGGGACTGCACATGTGTGTTCACACTGCTGCCTGGGTCAGGAAAAGCTTCATCTTCACCTTGGCCTTGGAGGTGTCTTAAGTCCACTGACCTTTTTTGGGACCAATTCTGCTTTGTACCAGGGGATGGACAGAAGAGGGGGAGGCGACCATTTCTGAGGAGCGTGGCTGTCTCGTGCCCACCACCGCTGGCATTCTGGTGAACAAGAAGCAGGGCCAGGGCGTGGGTTCAGTGGCTCACACCTGTAATCCCAGCACTTTGGGAGGCTGAGGCGGATGCATCACCTGAGGCCAGGAGTTCAAGGCCAGCCTGGCTAACATGGGGAAACCCCGTCTTTCCTAAAAATATATATATATAAATTAGCCAGGCATGGTGGCGTGCGCCTGTAATCCCAGCAACTTGGGAGGCTGAGGCAGGAGAATCGCTTGAGCTCGGGAGGTGGAGGTCTCAGTGAGCTGAGATTGTTCCACTGCACTCCAGCCTGTGCTGTCAACAGAGTACGACCCTGTCTCAAAAACAAAAACAAAAAAGGAAAGAGAGATAGAGAGAGAGACCAGAAAGAGGGAACCCGAAGGGCCGGGCGCGGTGGCTCACGCCTGTAATCCCAGCACTTTGGGAGGCCGAGGCGGGTGGATCACGAGGTCAAGAGATCGAGACCATCCTGGTCAACATGGTGAAACCCCGTCTCTACTAAAA